GGGGGGGGGGGGGGGATGGGACTCATTACCACCAGGGAGCCACCTGACCCTGCACTTTAAAGCTGCAGGTTAGAACTGACATAAGAAAAAGAAGGTAAGATGCAGACCGAGCAGCTGCTCAATTCATTTACCCACTCCAGGCTTCATGCCTGCCACTAGTGTCACACTGGCTGTGAAAGAAAGAAAGAGAGACATGACCAGGAACGGACAGGGAGACCTGAAAGTGATGGTGAGAGTCGAGACGGCATCCTGACACTAACATCAGCTATGTCGCCACCATATCCAAGGTAAAAAACAGGGGGGGGGAGAGTGTCCATGTGGAGTTTTTTGGCATCAACTTTGCATTGAGGCATTCCTTCCTCGGTTTTCAGAAGGCCACCCCCCCCATTTCTCATTAGCCACCTTGTGCCTTCCCACACTTAGCCCCTGATGTTTGACATGGTGCCACTCCCCACACTTCCCCCTCGGCTTCATGCCCCCCCTTCAGCCAACGCAAGGGACAGAGTTTGCTCCCGGATTGCACGAGTTCATAATGGACGCTCTACAGCCGCTTGCCACGAGTCGGGAGGAAAACGGCACGGGCTGCAGAGATCCTGCAGTGGGGATTTTGGTGTTAGTATTACAGGGAAGGGACCTTCAACAGTAAGAGGTCATTCTTCGTTGCAATATAAGGATACTTCAGAACCAGCTGTTCAAGGGCACGTTTGAATTTGGCATTGGAGGAAGGTTCTTCGGCCAAGAAGGTCTGTCACTAGCAACGGAGAGGCAGAGGGGAAGGTGTCAAGACCACTGTGTCTAAGCGGGTTGGTGCCAAATCATATGCCCTGGTTTCAGCTCTTAAACGTCCTTCCACAAGATCATTGGTAAAGAAGGTAGCTCTTGAGGGATGCTGGCAGTGGCAGTGAATGGATCTCATTCAGTCTTTCCTTGCCCAAGGCCAGCCTCACAGCACGCCGGCACAGATCCATCAGAGGCAGTGGTTCCGCTGCAAGACAAACACACACACAAACACGTTAACTTAGAGCAAACTGCAAGCTGGGCAGCTGCACTGCTATTGCCTGTTGTAGCAACCGGTATGCAAGCGGAGCAAGGCGGCAAAACAAAGACTTGGCCTGACCACGAGCCCCTGGCTCCCCAGCAAATAAGCCAGCACACCTCAGGCCACGACCCTGGAACATATGAATAGGGAAGGGAGGGTAGGACCCATCTGCAGAAGGCAGAGCGCCACATTTGCCTTAAGAAATACTTGGGGATGGATATCAATAGTAGCAAAGGTAAAAGATACCACTTGGATTTTACTGTTTGATGAGCTAGGAGGAAGATGCAGTTCTAAGCACCTTAGGAGCTGTCATACTCTCAGATTTGAGGGATGTTTCCTCTCATCCCCAAGATGCACATCAGCCTATCAACAGCAAGCCTCACAAGTCATTATTTCAAATGCCTTGCCAACAATGCATCTCCCTGGAGCACGTCCCCTACAGCTTGCAGTCTGATGCAGCAGCACCCGAAAGGCTGCTATGGCTTTGTCCACCAGTTCTGCTTCCACACATTTCATAGCTTTTAACAGGGAGCTAGCTTTACTTAGAGCTCCTGAAGCCAGTTCCTGTGCACACTGGGCATATTCCTTAACATGCACTGGTGCGAGCCCCCTGCCAACACCAAGGAGTTTACACACCTAAGCCACAAGGGCATTGGCCGCAACACATGGAAGAGTTCCTGCAGAGTGAAATCAGATTTCCCAAAATCCAAGCTGCACGCGGTTATGGACCTAGCAGCCAGGACACCTGCAGTCAGTGCTTGTACTGAACATGCATCACGGATGCGAGTAATAATTTCTTTTTTGCAGACAGCTCCTCCCTCTCCCCAGCCTCAAACCTCAGTGCAGCTGATCTGTCTGCAGTTTCCCCTCCAGACAGATTTTCCAGTGAGGTAGCTCAAGACATCATTCTTGATCAGAGGCTAGTGTCAGCCAGCTTGAGAGAAACCTAAAACTTCATATGAAGTCAACAAATGCCATGAGCCCACTTGCCTAATTCAGGACTTTAGCAGGGGAGATTGCAGAAGAACCAGGCAAGCTACATATATTCCAAAAAAGATATAAAGCCTATTGAAATGAGTCTGATCTCAGGGAGTAGTTCCAGTACTAAGGAGAGAGAGAGACAGAAAGAAAGAAAAAAAGCCATGCCCTGCAGGCAGATCAGCAAAAAAGTACGGCGATTTCTTGCAAGAATCTCTCCATAATGTGGACAGGAAAAAGCAAAGTATGGAAGGCCTAGTCTTCTGAAAGTAATCCCACAACCTGAAACCAAACAACAGTCAAAAGCATGGCACCAAGATGAAGCCACAAGAACATTTTTAGGTTTGGTTTCATAGACTAACAGCAGCAGGAAAATATGGCCCGTGGGCCATATCTGGCCCACCAGGCCATTCTATCCAGCCCGGGGCGGGGGGTGGGGGGGGCGGCTAAAAAATGTAGAAAATTAATTATCTGCCCCTGGCTGCCTGTCAAAGGTGACAAGGTGCAAGTGGCAGCACGACTTGAGGGAGCCACAACCCCCGCACAACCTATATCCACCCACCCATACCCCCCCAACAATATACAAGAGTAAGACTTCATTTTAAGCTATTACACGATCACCTCTATGTACACGACACCCACATAAATAAATCAGGACAAAAATATTTTTTGAAAATCAAATTAATGAATGCTGTAGTACATGTTTGAGTTTTAGAATATGATTTGGTATTTTTCTGGTTCTGAGATGGCATACCCCCTTGCCAAGAGGAGTACTTTCATGGGCAAGGTCTGGGGTTAGGAGATGGGGCTTCTGGTCCCAAGACAGCAACCAGGGGGCGGGGCTCCTGTCAAGGGGCGGGGCTACCCATGCAGCCCTCGACAGCTTGCCAAAACTCAGTAAGCAGCCCTCCAGCCAAAATAAATTGCCCACCCTTGCTCTAGAAGTCAGGGAATGATTTTCACATCAAAGCACCATAGATATACCAATGGTTCCCATCTCGTTTCATACGGCAGGAGGTTGCTCTGTCGCTGTAGACCAGAACAAAGTTATGAAGGCCAAGAATGAATACAGAGAATTTCAGAAGTTGAGATTTCAGGGGTTTTTCCTCTCTCTCTCACTCTCTCCGTAGAGATTGTACTCAGGACCTTGAGCTCCTAACTGCAGTCTTGCCACCACCTACGTTACATGAGCTCGCTAAAGATCCCCCAAGAGGTTTGGAATTCCATAAACCAAAATCAAGAGAACGCTCTGCATTCAGATGCATAATCAGCAAAAACAGAAAAAAAATAGTTTAACCTGAGCAAACTGCCAAAACAGGCTAAATATAAGAGAAAATGAACTCTGAGTCAGCCTCATACTGACTTAAGACTATTTACTAGCAACATTTTACTGCTCTCCACAGGAAAAACTCGTTTCTTGGGCTCTAAGGTCACAGTCAGCACGAACCAAGGTTGCAGCTGCACATAAAGACTTTATTATTTATATGTATATAAATATAAAATGTGAGGTTCTTAGCACTCACCTTTATGAACTATACAAGCTTGCAAATTCCTCTCCTACAACACTGGCTAAATTCTGGGCACCTCAACGAACACTACACAACTAAGTTCAAACCATTCAATTAGCATTCATTACAGATCATCTAAACATTGTTCATCTTTCATGAAAAGAAGGTTATCACAGATTGGAAACTACTAAAGAGACACCTGAAGCTAGTAGCGACTTTGAAAGTCTTGGGTCAGGCATTGCAGCTTTCAGGATTCTCAAATGCGTACTGAAGCCAACAGCTCTACAAAAAGGTTCACACCTGCCAATGTTCACAGCGCTGCTGTTTCACAGATTGAAGATAGTACAGCATGCTCACTTTCCCGACCCTAACACTCTTCTGATCAGATCTCCTCCTTTGCACAACTCCACAATCATTCTGGTCACTAATGGAGACAGAAAAAAATCCTTTGTCCCCCACCCCTGTAAATTTAGCACATAACCTTTATAGTCACTATCAATTCCATTAGCCAAAAATTATGAAGGCTACAATTGGAATCTTAATCATCCTATAAAAGAACTTACCAATACATGAAACAGTAACAGTGTTGGAGAAAAAAAGCAATGGCTACACTTGTAA